TTAGTGTTTAGTGACTTGCACCGGGGGCGCACCCCCGCCCCATTTCCATTAGCCGGAACTGCCGTCGCCAGAAAAAAAACACCAGTTACGGCAAACCTGTTTTAGTGAATCTGGCCAATTGAGGGGCCCCAGGGCCCTGCCGCTAACCGGGCCCCCTTCCCCGGGGCCCTGGCCATGCCCGAATCAGGAACGCCGAATTGTCCGCCTCGGGCGCTGGGCCGTGGATCTCGCTGCTGAAGAGAAGCTCCGCGTGGCCCGGCCTGTGCGTGAGCGAGCGCCGCGCCTCCTGAAGCCAGGGCGCAGCTTTTTCGCCCGCAGCCCCGCGCGCGAGCCCGAGCTGGTGCTCGAAGATGTCATCCAGGAACGAGCGCCAGATCTTGCTGTTCACCAGCTCATGCCGCGTCCCCGTCTTCGTCTCCTTCGTCAAGAGGTCCCCGTTCTTCTTCTTGTCGAACGCCGCCATGGCAATGAGCGCCCCGATCATGCCGCCCGTCGTCCCGCTGGTGCTCTGCCACACCTGGAACTCCGGCACGATATTGGGCAGCAGCTCAAACCCGTGCTCGTGGTGCACGATCTCGATGGCCACATTCTTGGGAATTCCTCCGCTTTCCCCCAAGCTGCGCCGCCCTCGGAGCCGCCGGACGTCTTCCTGTCCTTCATCTTCTCATTGAACGCGCGGAACCTGTCGGGGCCAACGATGCGGACGCCGCCGCTCCGCGGCCGGGAACCCTGCCCCTGGCGAGGAAAGCGCGCGATGAAGATGCGAGGCCCGTGGGAATCCGCTGCAATTTCTGTTGGGATGGCCAGCGACAGAGGCCCAGACCGGGTTGGCGGCGCAAGGATGCAAGGCAACCTCGACAGAGACCCTGCCCCTGCCATCCGGAATGCTCGCCGACACCGCGTGGCAGTGTCCGCAATTTTGCCCGCGATGCCAATGCAGGCAGGGCGGCGGGCTTGCTCGGGTTCGGGTGGGCGGCGTCTGCGAGGCACGTCCTCTGGAACTTCCTGGCGCACTCCGAGATGAACATGTAGATCTCCTCCTCGCACGTCATATCGGACGTCTTGCGCCCCAGGTCCCTGGAGGCCCGCGCGGCGGCAGGGGCGGCCGGCGCCGAGCGCGCGCCTGCCGAGCCGACCCCGCCCTGCGCGGTGGGCGCCCTGGGGGCGCCCCCTGCTGGCGGCTCCTCCGCCAGGCCGCCCTCCGGAGCAAGCGGCGCTCCGCCCCCCCCCCCCCCTGGCCCTCGTCGCCCTCCTCCTCGCGGCGCTCCCCCATCCCGATGGCGCCCTCGATCTCCTGGAAACCCTCCCTGCGAGGCACGCACTTCTCGATGGCCCACTCCTTCGCGGGGTCGAAGCAGAAGTTCTTCTTCATCTTCTTGGGGTCGCGGATGTACTTGACAACCTTTGGGCCCTGGTCCAACTTCGGGTACATCTTCTTAGGGGCCGCCCAATACGCGCGCAGCCGCCTGGATGTCCGAATCTCAATGTTCTTCGCCTTGCCGAGCCTGCCCTCGCGAAGCCGGACGTCCCACCGCGGTTTGCCTTCGATGTCTGCGATCAAGCACTTCTGGGCAATATTCGTTTCATGGCCCCTTCTGTCTTCTCGACTTTCAACGCCTTCAGCGTCTTCGCCGCGCTGGTCCTCTGCGCCTGCGTCAGCGGCTGCATCTGCTGAATGGGTGCGCCGATCTGCTCCTCAGCGATGCAGTCGGCCATGGCGACGCTGTCGGCAACGCTGTCGGCGACGCTCTCGGCGGCGCTGCTACGCGCGCCTCGGCCCGCCCCGCGGACCGCCGGTACCCTTGAGCCAAACTCAGCCGAAATGGATAACGGAAGTTTCGCTGCCAGCGGTCTTCGGCGGTCTGAGGTTGTCCACGCGCGCGTCTTTCCTCTCCCATTTCCGGGGCTTTTTTTTTTTTGAATGGGCCGGCCTTCCTTGTTTGGCCTCCTCGCGGTCCTCGGCGGCCCTGGTGGTTCCCGTGACATCGGCATTGGTTCGTTTTGTTTCTGTGCCAGTAGGGCAAGGCACCCCGGGTGCGGCGCCCCTCTCAATGGGCAGGCGTCGCACGCGGGCCCTGGACCCAACCGGTTTCGGTGTTCGTCGTCGTCGTCTTTTTCGTCGTCGGCGTCGTCGTCGTCGGCGTCGTCGTCGTCGGCGTCGCCGTCGGCGTTTCCCAGTCGAGCAGGCGTGTTTTGTTCTGGCGGACGCCTGATGCGAAATGAATTCCTGATTGTATCATCGGTCTGTCGTCGTCGTCGTCGTCGCCGTCGTCGGCGTCGTCGTCGTCGCAGTCGTCGTCGTCGTCGTCGTGGGCGGCGTCGTCGTCGTCGTCGTCGCCGGCGTTTCCCAGTCGAGCGGGCGTGTTTTGCTCTGGCGGACGCCTGATGCGAAATAAACTCGTGGTTGCATCATCGGTCTGTCGTCGTCGTCGTCGTCGTCGTCGTCGTCGTCTTCGGCGTCGTCGTCGTCGGCGGCGTCGTCGTCGTCGTCGGCGGCGTCGTCGTCGGCGTTTCCCAGTCGAGCGGGAGTGTTTTGCTCTGGCGGACGCCTGATGCGAAATGAAATCGCGGTTGTATCATCGGTGTGTCGTCGTCGTCGTCGGCGTCGGCGTCGTCATCGTCGTCGTCGTCGTCTTCGGCGTCGTCGTCGTCGTCGTCGTCTTCGGCGTCGTCGTCGTCGTCGGCGTTTCCCGTTCGAGCGGGTTTGTTTTGCGCTGGCGGACGCCTGCTGCGACATGACTTCCCGTCGGTCTGTCCCAGGGGCTTGCTGCCCCTGGAACCCGATGCTCCGACCAGAAATGCCCCCGGGCGTTGGGGGGGGGGGGCGGGGGGGGGGCGCTAGGCCCACGCTGGGCGCGGAAAAAGGCACGGGTGGCAATTGTTTCCCCAGCGGCCCCGACACTGCGGGCACACTGCCCCGCGCCCGGGACCCTCCGAGCAAACCCGCCGGTCACTGCAGGAAGATCTTTTTGCGGAAGTTCGCGCTGATCTCACTGGTGGAGAGGTTGAGAGAGCAATTCCCAACGTCAGTCCGGACTGCCGTCCAGTGGGCGCCACCGGGTTCAGGGACGCACGCCCAGTTCTTGTGGCGGCGCGTCGCGCGGGAGTGGAACCCCGCCTCCACCAACTGTGCCACGGCCTCCTCCTGCGAACGGGAGAAGACATGCTTGGGCACCGGCTGCCACTGGTTGCGATCGGGACCGACACTCTGTAGCACCAGGGTGGTGCGCGTAGCCGAGTACCGCACGTCGTACAAAGCTGGGAGGGGCCCGCGGCCTTCGAGCTCCTGCTCGCGCAAGTAGCCGTAAAATGGAGAGCGTCCTGGCGCAACACACTGACTTCTTAACGAAAGGTTTCTCCACCACTTCGGCCGAAAAACTCGTGAAGACAGTCTTCCCCGTCTGGTTCCCTTTGCTCGCCGCGGCATCACTCGGGCGGGGCGCGTCCCTCCAGGGCACGACCAACTCCACGAGCATTTCGTGGCGTTTCTCTATGTCCTCCTCAGCCTGGATGGTCTCACGGAGCTCGGCGGTCCCGGGACGGCCATCTCTGCGCCAACTGTTCAATATCATATGCTTCTGCCGCCAACCTCCCCCCGCGGGCTTGCCGGCAGGCTTTTTGATTGCGGCTTCAATCGCCCGCGAGACCCCCCAGGGCTCCGGCCGCCGACGACTCCAGCTGGGGATTGGCCGCCACTACCCCTGAGCCAAACTCGGCCTCAATGGATTACCGAAGTTTCGCTGCCAGCGGTCTTCGGCGATCCCAGGTTGTCCACATTCGCGTCTGTCCTCGCCCATTTGAAAGATTTTTGTTTTGAAGAGGCCGGCCTCCCTCGTTTGGGCTCCTGGCGGTCCTCGGCGGCCCTGGGTTTCCCCGTGACATCGGCATTCGTTCGTTTCAGTACCAGTGGGGCAAGGCCCCGCGGGGGCGGCGCCCCTCTCATTGGGCAGGCGTCGCACGCGGGTCCTGGACCCAACTGGTTTCGTCGTCGTCGTCGTCGTCGTCGTCGCCGCCGCCGCCGCCGCCACCGCCGCCGCCGTCGTCATCGTCGTCGTCGTCGTCGTCGCCGTCGTCGTCGTCGTCGTCGTCGTCGTCGTCGTCGTCGTCTAGGGCCCTGGGCTCAGACCACAAATGCCGACGACGAAGCCGACGCCGCCGACGACGACGGCGACGACGGCGGCGGCGGCGGCGACGGACGACTCGCACCGGTAAGTCGCCGCTACATCGCCGCTAAATCGCCGCTGAATGCCGCTAGATGCAGCTAAACGCCACTCAAACGGCGACTCGCCGCGATTAGCGGCAATTTAGCGGCAAGTAGCAGCAATTGAGAGTGCGATTCGTTCCAACGGCCACGCCCAATGAGTGACCACGAAAAGGCGCCGTACCTGACTGACCGACGCGGGCGGCGCGATACATTTGCCCACGACCGTTGTATCCTACGTTAGGTGCATTTGCTGTTTATGTTGTTGTTGCTGTTCCTCCTCCTCCGCCTCCTCTTCCCCCTCTTGTCCCAGTCCTCCTGTTCCTGCTCGCTTCGACTCGTCTTACTTTCCCATTCTCCTCCTCTTCCTCCTCCTCCTCCTCCTCCTCCTCCTCCTCCCCCCATCATCCGTCTCTCCTCCCACTGTCCTAGGCTCCTCCGAATATTGTACTCTCCTGCTCCTCCCCCTTTTCTTCCTCCCCTCCTCCTCCTCCTCCCCCCCCCCCTCCCTTTCCTCATGCTATCATATATTCCTCCAAATATCTTGGGCTCCTCCCCCACCTCCCCCCCCTTTTCATCCTCCTCCTCCTCCCCCTCGTCCTCCTCCTCCTCCTCCTCCTCCTCCTCCTTCTCTCCTCCCACTGTCCTAGGCTCGTCCGAATATTGTACTCTCCTCCTCCTCCCCGTCCTTTTCTTCCTCACCTCCTCCTCCTCTTCCCCGTCCCCCTGTCCTCCTACTATCATCCTCTCCTCCTCCTACTCCTCCTCAAATAGAAGGTGGCAAAAAAGCACGCCACTGCGCTCTGCGCTGCAGGAAAGGCCGGGCCGCAGCTCCGTCTCTGATGCGCTCACGGGGCCGCGCCGGGCAGGCAATCGGGGTACCACTCCACGAACAACGCCCTGGTTGCTGCTGTCAGGGGCGCAGGGGCGGCATCTGTCTTTTGCGCGCGGCATTGCGCATTGAAGAAACTCCGCCGGGCCCCGCGCTGCAAATGCCAATCGCCCTTGCGCATCTCATGGGGCATCCGAACTCGACCGGCCAAGAATGCCTGCGTGGGCGGGCCCGCGTCGGCATGGCCGTCGTACGTGGCAATGGGCCAGGTCTTGCTCTTCAAGGTCGCGCCCAGGTCGGCCTCCGTCGCCCACCTAGGGCGCGCCGATATCTTCACGTCATTGAAGTTGCGGTTCCGTGCCATCGTGAAGGACGCGTTCTTCCAAGCGGTGCGTGTCCCAGCAGGAGCCCGGCCCCCTCGGGTCCGCCTGGGGAGTCTTCCTCGTCATCTGTCACTGCGCGTTCGCTTCCCATATCTTCGTCTGCGCTGGCTGCCCCTGGTTCCTCCTCAGTTACGATTGCCGGCACATCCTTGTCATTTGAGTCCTCCGACGAGAGGGCGCCGTCGATGCTGGACTCGGCGTCGCTGAAGTCGGACTCCTGATCCCCCCCCCTGGTCGCCGTGGCCTTCTGGGCGGCGGTGGGCCAGGACACCTCCTCCCACTCGGCAGCCTTCAAATAAATCTGGGTGCCCTCCACGCGGGTGACAATGAGGAGCGGCGCATGGATCGCCGGGTCGTCCGGCACGTCGCCCACCCACGTGGCCTCCGCGGCGTCCACGAAATTCTCCCAGCACGCCTGCGCGTCGGCGAGGAACTCGTCATCTCCCCCAGCGGCATAGCGCCGCAAAGGGAAAACCCAGCACGCCTGCCCGATGCACGCGGCGAAGAGGTAGAGGCAATGCCCAGGAGTCGCCTGCACTGCGCAGAAGGGGCCCTTCTGGTCGAGCGCCAGTTTCCCAGTCCACTTCGGCGCCCGCGGGCGGGCGGGCCCTAGCCCGTCGATGTCTTGCGGCGTCTCCATGGGGGTGATCTGGCGGGTGGCCGTCGATTCCCGGAGCAACGTGTTCCACGTGTCCCTGTCGCCCCCCAGCCACTGCAACCAGTCGGCGCCAATAAAGTTTGCGGCGGGGGCCCAGCCACGACGACAAGGGCTCCTGTTCGATACTTCTTCACGATTTACTCCGAGAGCCCCTGGTCAAGAAGACCCCCGAACTCAGGAACGGCGCTCTCGCTCGAGACTTCCCCGCAATTCAGTCAAATTGGTGGAGGCCGGGACACGGCGATAAGGTCTCCCGTTTGATATTTCTCCATCAGTATTCGGAGAGCCCCTGGCCAGAAAGGCCCCCGAACTCAGGAACGGCGCTCTCGCTCGAGACTTCTTCGCACTTCTGTGAGGAAGGGATTCCCCTCGAAAGGGGGTGCAATCGAAGACGACATGGGCGGGTATCGAGGTTTGGGGTATACAGAATGCAAGACACGGGTGCCAGTAAGAGCGGGCAGTCTTAAACTGATTGGTTTTGTTGTTGTTGTTTTCGTTGTTGTTGTTGTTGCTGCTGTTGTTGTTGTGGTTGTTGTTGGGGGGCGGTTTTAGCGAAACCCGAAACGCCTGAACGCCAGCCTTATTTTGAAAAGGAATGCAGCCGCCGTCTCGGCGAGAGCGCGACAGCGCATTCAGGGTGTCCAGCAATAGCTGTTGTTTGATATGCATGGCTCAACAACAAAAGCAGCAGCAACAACAATAGTCGTAAGTTTGCTCGCTCTTACCTGTTCGCGTGCCAGCCAACACGTAGATCTCAAACCTTCGATACCCGCCCTCTTCGTCTTCGAGCGTGCCCCTTTGGGGGCATACCTTTCTTATCTGCAATGTGTATTTCGTGCAGTCTCTGAGGAAGGGGTTGAGAAGATGGACGGAGGGAAAGGACAAGGGGGAAGGAAGAGGATGGAACACGAGAGAAAGTAGCAAAAGGGGGGCTAGGAACAAAACGCACGTGGCAGAACCAAACGGGCAGATCGGGCGGAAAGACCCTAACGGGCGGGTCGGGAAAGTGGGCCCAGGCGGTGGGGTCGAGGAGGCGGTCTGCTGAAGCTTGGGTCCTGCATGAATCGCGAGGCACTCTCGAGCGATAGCACGATTCTCAAACAAATCGCGAAACATGTCTAGGCGATGATGTGATTCCTGAGTGTCGAGGGCGCGGCGTCTCGCGAGAGCGCGATTCCTGCATGCATTGTGAAGAAATCCCCTGCGAAAGCGCGATTTGGAAATAAGACATGGGAAACTATCAAACGGGAGCCGCTGTTGGAGAGACCAGGGGCCAACAACCCAATTCTGACACTCAAGACGCTCCTCTTTTATCTTTTTTTAACAAGTGCGAACCCCGGGAAGGGCAATTCAATTAAAAACGCACCATATGCCACGGAGGGGGGAAATTAACACTAATTATTCTTTATATGGAACAACTCAACAGTAACAACAGCAGCAGTAACAACAATCATCTTACCCGAATGCTCTATGCTTATGTATGCAACATCCGTCCATCCTGATACCTCTCCCCCCCCCCCAGTGGGGTACTTTGTTCTTGCGCGCGGGGATCCGACATTCCCTCTGCCTCTCCCTGATACCCCGCCCGAGGAGGTCTTGACACCACCTCTTCACCGGCACTTCAACATCTCCACCCTGGATGGCACCCTGCCTTCGCGACCTCCCTGCCCAGGCGTTGCTTCCAGGTGCCGCGACGCCTGCATGGCCGAGGACCTTTGGGGGAGGCCCCGCAAGCTCTGGGAGAGCCCCGTGGATGGCCCCCGGAGCCTCTGAGAGAAGCTTCAGCGCTTAGGCCCTTAGGCTTTCGATCCCTCCCCGGGGGGCCGCTTTTGCGTCGGCCACTGTCTGATGGGCTCCGGGGCTCGTCGTCGTCGTCGGGCCCAGACACGGCCTGGCAGTCTCGACCTGCCGAGGATGTCTCAGGCGAGGGCGCCCACGCGGGATGCTGCGCCCGGTTTCGCCGGTCGCCGGGAACAGAACAGGAAAGCCGGCGCGCCGCCGGAAGCAGAACAGGAGGCTGGCGCGAATGAGCGCTGGCGAGAGAGCTGGCGCGTAAGAGGGAGAAAGGGAAGGAATGGGAGGGAATGGGGGAGAAGGGGGGCAAGAAAGAGAAGGCTCCGGCGACTGGTGTGAGAACTGGCGTGCAAGTTGGAAAAATAGAAAGGGAAAGAGATAGGGGAAGCTGGCGAGATAGAGGGAAACACAGGAGGAAGATTGAGAACCCTGGCGGAGAGAAAAGCAAGGGAAAGATAAGGAAACATGGGAACAGTGAGGGAGAGAGGAAGAAGAGAGGGAGAGAGAGGACGACCGCGACGATGACGACCACGACGACGACGACGACGACGACAACGACGACGACGGCGGCGGCGGCGGCGGCGGGGGCGGCGGCGGCGACGACGGCGACGACGGCACGCCCCAGGTCACGATCGAAAGCGATGTCGCGCGGAGCAGGCGCGAGAGCGCGAAAGCGGTTTCAGGGTGTCCAGCAATAGTTTTTCTTGTTTCAAAATTGTCTACAAATTAAGGTTCAACAGGGACTAGGGGAGCCTTAGGGCCTCCTGGGAGTCTTGAGAAAAAGCGGAAGAAGTATCGAGCGGGAGCGTCGTTGTTCGTAGGGTGTCCTGAGGCGGGAGCGCTGGTCCTGAGGTGAAAAACAAGGGGGTATCGAGCGGGAGCGCCGATCTTGTTGGAAAGTCGGCTTTGGGGGGCGAACAAGAGCCCCGGCCCCGAGCGAGAAAGGAGGAAATATCGAGCCAGAGAGCTGTTGTTGTCGGGGGGCCGGTTTTGAAGCACCCCCGAAACGCCTGAGCGTGAACCTAATGTTCGGAGGAAACGCAAACGGCGCCGAAGCGAGAGCGCCAAAGCGCACTCAGGGTGTCAAATAAGAACAACTGTTTTATACTTAAGGCTGAACAGCAATCATGTTCAGACTGTTAGCACGCGCGCGTGTCAATCAACATGTGATTCCCAAGCCCTCGATACCCGCCCTCTTGGTCTTGGATCGTACCCCCTGGGGCATATCTTCCTTACCTGCCGCGTGAAATCGGCGCAGCCCCTGAAACAGGGGAAGGGAGGACAGATGGAAGGGGGAGGGATGAGGATGGAGCACGGGATTAGCAGGAGGGGAGCTAGGAGTAGAAAACACGTGACAGAACCAGACGGGCCAATCGGGCGGGTGGACCCTGACGGGCGGGACGGGAAGGCGGGCCTGGGCGGCCAGGTCGAGAAGCTGTGTTGCTGAAGCGTGAGGAAGAGCTCAAGCGATAGCACAGTTCCGAAGAACATCGTGAGAAAGTCCAAAGCGAGAGCGTGATTCCTGATTGTCGAGGGCGCAGCGTCTGAAACAAATGCGAGGAAGTGCCACGCGGGAGCGCGATTCCTGCATAGCTTGTGAGGAAATCCCGCGCGAGAGCACGATGTTGGAATACATGGTGAACAGCATCAGGCGGGAGCCGTTGTTGTTGTAGCCTACGGCCCAACAACGCAGTTTGGTGATACCACGCTCCCCCTGGTAAAAAAAGAACAGGGTGCGAGCCCCGAGAGGGGGCACTTCAATTGAAACATGCAATGGTTACTGGAAGGGGTATCAACACTACATTGTCTTCAGAGATGGGAGCAGCAACAACAGCAGCAGCACCATCACCAACAACCACAACCACAACCACAACCACAACAGCAACAACAACAACAACAACAACAACAACCACAGCACTAACAACATCAACATCACCAACAACACATACAACAACATCAACAACAACAACGGCAACAACAGCAGCAACGACAACGACAAGGGCAACGACAACAACACCAGCAACAAAAGCAGCAGCAATAACAACAACGACATCGACAACGACACCACCAACAACAACACCGCCAACAGTAAGACCAATCATTCTAACACTGTTCGCTCCCTCCGATCTGCTCGCGTGCCATTCGATATGCATATCCCAAACCCTCGGTAAACCCGCCCGTCTTCGATCGTACCCCCTTGGGGGCATATCTTCTATACCTGCCCGTGCATTTAGCGCAGCCCCTAAAACAGGGGAAGAGAGGACGGATGGAAGGGGGAGGGATGAGGATGGAGCACGAGAGAAATAAGCAGGACAGGAGCTAGGAGCAGAACACACGTGGCAGAAACAGACGGGCCCATCGGGCGGGTAGACCCAAACGGGCGGGTCTGGAAGGCGGGCCCGAGCGGCCAGGTCGAGCAGGCGGGTTGCTGACGCGTGAGTCCTGCGTGAATCGCGAGGAGAGCCCGAGCTATAGCGCGATTCCGAAGTAAATCGTGAGAAAGGCCAAAGCGAGAGCGTGATTCCTGAGAGTCGAGAGCGCGGCGTCTAAATACATTGCGAGCAAGTCCCACGCCAGAACGCGACTTCTGCCTAGAATTTGAGAAAGTCCCGCGCGAGAGCGCGATTTCTCAATACATTGTGAGGAAGTATTCGGGAGGAGCCGTTGTTGTAAATTGGAGCCGAAGGCCCAGATTGGTGACAATCAACTTTCCGTTTCAAAAAAAATGCGAGACCCGGGAGGAACACTTCAATTTCTCACCGGAGGGGGGATCAACAACACATATTCTTCAGAGATGAGAACTCAGTAACAATAGCAACAACCACAACCACAACCACAACCACAACCACGACCACGACCACAACCACAACCACAAGAACAACAACAGCATCAATACCAACAGCAGCAAGAACAACAACAGCAATCAAGCAAACAAGCAAGCAAGCAAACAAGCAAGCAAACACGGAACCCAGCAAGCACGCACGCAAGCAAGCACACAAACGTGTGTTGTGGCAGGTGCAGTCGGATAACGACGTCATCAAATGCAGCGCTGGGAGCAGCGCGTACAAATAACAAGGGCAATGGCAGCGGGCCTCGGCGCCACACTGCAAGACTTTTGAGACGAAGCTGGAGGAGAAGGAGGAGGAGGAGGAGGAGGAGGGGGAGGAGGAGGACGAGGAGGACGAGAGGAGGGGGGGAGAGGAGGAGGATATGGAGAGTGGAGGAGGATCAGCGTGTGCGACCGGGATGCACAATGGGGGTGGCTTCCCACGCTGCGAAGGGTGCTGCGGGCGGCGGAGGTGGATCTCCTGACGCCGGTCGGCGATGCTGGGAAGCCGCGCGTGCGAGGAGGGTGGGCAGAGGGCTGACGCGCAAGAGAGTGCGAGGCAGAGAGAGAGAGAGCGAGAGAGCGAGAGAGAGAGAGAGAAAGAGAGCGAGAGAGAGAGAGAGAGAGAGCGAGAGAGAAAGCGAGAGAGAGAGAGAGAGAGAACGAGAGAGAGAGAGAGAGTCTCTCTCTCTCTTTCTCTCGCTCTCTCTCTCTCTCTCTGAGAGAGCGAGCGAGAGTGCGAGAGAGATCACTGCCAACACACGACAGCACGCTGCAGCGAGGGAGCGCGGGCCGCGCACCCGGGGCCTCCAGGGCGCGTGCGCCGCGGGCCTCCGCGCGCGGCGCCCCCGCGCAGGGCTGCGCATCGGGGGCGCGCCTCCCGGTGCTCCCAGGCGCCAGCGGGGCACCAGAATGCGGGCCCCGAGAATATACACCACCACCACCACCTCCAGTCCCCCCTTCCCTCCTCTAGTGCGGGATGACGATAAATAGAAAAAAGGGAGAGGAAGATTGAACAAATAGTTGTTCTGCTATTTCAGCAGAATTTTCTGACTGGAGGAGAACGATAAAAAAATAGTTGTCCAACCCGCGGCTGGTTTTTTCGAATCGTCATCCCGGGCGCCACCGCGTGAACACGACCCCTGGTCATTTACGAATCGTCATCCTCCATTACTTCCCTCTTCCCCTCATTCTTTCCTGGGAGAGGGAGGTGGTGGTGGTGTATATTTTTGGGCCCCGTGCAGACGGGAGGAGGCGGCGGAGGCCAGCGAGCTCCGCGGCTCGCGCGCGCCCCCCGGGGCCGGCCGGGGCAGCGCCGGGGCCGGGGCCGACGCCGAGCGGCTCCTGGACGGCGAGGGCGCGGGGGCCTCCCCCGTGATGAGGGGGGGGCCGCCGCCGCCGCGGCCGCGGCCGGCGTCGCCGCCGTCGCCTCCGCCCGCCGAGGCGCCATCTCGGAGGTCGCGAAGGGGTGCGGCGTCAGAGGGGTGCGGTGCCAGTGCTGAAGATAGCGAGGCGAAGTGCCTCGGCGACCTGCTGCTATCCAGGGTCCCCGGCTTCCTCCTCCTCCTCCTCGTCCCTCCTCCCTCTCCCTGCCTCCTCCTCCTCCTCCGCCTCCTCCTCCGCCTCCTCCTCCTCCTCCCTCCTCCTTCAACAACGCTGGCTTCGCGGCGGTATCAAGGGGTGCGGTGCCAGTGCTGAAGATAGCGATGTGGCCTACGACAGCCGCACGGTGCGGTTCCCCCCGATTTCAACACCGCTGGCTTCGCGTCGATCGCTTCGAGCAAGGTCGAGTGAAGAGTTCCAGCTCCTTAAGCGACCGCCGTCCAATCTGAACGGCGACGAAGAAACCCAATCCATGACGCCGTATCGTCAGACACGCGATTCTAGAGACTCTGGAATTTCTGGAATTCATGTTTGTGGTTACGGAATTTCCGGAACGTCGTTTCGGAATTTCCGGAATCATGGTTTGTATTGAAACAATACTATTTCTAACTTCTGGAATTCCTGGAACTGCGTTTGGGGCGATACGGAAATCCCGGAATGACGCTTTTCGCGATTCGGAACTACCGAATTTTCGTGCTTGGTAAGCAGGCGTCTCGGAATAGGTGTAGCGTTGCCGTTCACATGAACCTGCGGTCGTTTGGGGAAGGTGGAATCAAGAGCTCTGACGTTGCTCGAGGCGGTCCGCGCAAAACCAGCGTTGTTTAAATGAGGATGTAACGCACTTGCGGCTATCGTAGATAACATCGCCAGTTCCAGCAGTGGCACCGCACCGCTGTATATCGCACCCCTTTGCGACCTGTTCTCCTCCGGTCTGGGCCTTCACGAAGGGCCCGCTTTCGGGCCCTGGGGCCGGCAGAAATCTGCCTGGGGTGAAGAACAGGTCCCAGGGAAGGCGTCGAGGGCTGCAAGAAGAAAAACGCCACCCAAAAACATAATGTCGGAAGTCTGGGTTGCCGTCGTCGCCGCCGTCATGGCAGCGCCCCAGAGAGCCGCCCCCCAGCAGGGTTCCCGCGCGCGCCTGGTGTCCAAGGAGTGGCAGGCGGTGGAGGGCGGAAGGAAGAAGGGAGGGAGGACAGAGGTTGAAGGGCGCTGGGGGGGGCAGCGTTGTTTCCAGGGCCAGATCCCCGCATGCTCGGAGGGCGCGCTTGATCGGTCAACAGCAACCCTTACCGCCGCCCTTCGCGAGAAGCTCTGATTTCAGGTTTGCTCTTGCCCACGATTGGGCTGCCCATGCTTGCTCTTGCCCTACGAAAGCATTGCCCTCTCCCCCGTTGCCCCAGAAACACAGATCGCGTTCGCTGCCCCTCAGCGGGCTTCAAGACAGAGGAGGCATTTGGATTCACGGTGTATTCAGAGTTGGTGATTGTGGCCTCATTGGAAGAGAAGCGAAATGCGAGCTCCAGCCCACAGAAAAGAGGGTGTGGCCTGGGCGGCACCGAGAATAAGCTTTAGAGTCAAAAATCGGTATCGCACACGCTCCAACAATATACTGCCCACCCACCGCCCGAATCATAACCAGCCCACGGAACGGGCGGTGGTTCGGCATCGGCCGAACGTTCGAGAAAGTCAGACTGGACTCAAATGGACCTCTTCGAAGTAGCTGTCAAAAAACTCGGCGGAGCCGTACTAGATCAGAAAGCACCTTGACGTCGTCTTTGGCTGGGTTCAGGTGCTGGTGATTCTGGGTCCGCCTCTACTTGCTCCCCGAAAGGGAAGGTGGAGGGAGATTGGCCCGTACGTCGCCGCCCCCTTCTCACGCAGAGACTGGAGCAGCGAATACTAGTACAATGGCCACTGCATGCTGTGGTCATGGCGATGGCCGCAACGGCCATACTCATCGCATTTATTGAGTCGGCAATGACCCAACAGGAGAGGCGAGGTGTGAACACTGGTCACAACAGGTCGAGCGCATAGGGGATGAACGGCGCGCCGGAGCCGATGGCGATAATGATCACGATCGTGGTCGGTCTCCGTCTGGCGGGGCAGCCCGTCGAACTTTGGCGCCACCTGCGTGCGAACCTCCTCGCCAGAAGGCTTGAATCACTCGTCGTCCAATGCGCCGGCCGAAAGGCCAGCTGCTTTCCGCAACATTGTCGCGATCATCCCCAGCACGAGCTTCTTGTCCACGGGGAAGGAGGCCTGCACCTTCTCGTCGCTGAAGCCTTACAACTCTCGCGCAATCTCCACCTGCTTGGCCATGGCGGGCACGATGGTCTGGCAGCACTGCTGCGCAACGAAGCGCAGCGAGACGACGTAGCAACCGCCGCAGCACATGAGCACGTACTGGATCGTCTCCGATCTGATTTGAAAGGAATTGCCCCAAAATGTGGGCCGGCGTCGCCGCGTACAAGGCGAGACCCAGGCAGGCCATCTTGGCCCAGGCCACCAGGCCTTGAAACCCCCGATGCTGTAGAGCTTAGCGTTGCGTTCGTCGGAGATTCGGTTGATCTTGCGGTGGTTGTGCTTGCGCATCACCCATTCGGCCAGCTCGTAGACGCACCAAACGCGCGTCAGATAATGCTCGATGAAGAGCACCTACAGCTCGTCCGGGCTCACCAGGAAGTGGCCGAAGAGGCCAACACTCGCTTGGTTGATCACACGGCACTTTCTCGTCTGCTGAGCGCGCTCAACGTCGCTCACCTTGACACTGGGCAAGACAAACTTGAGACCTGTCGATCCGTCGCCGTCTTGCAAATTGGCTTGGTGCACCGTCGCCTTGCGAATCCCAAACTGGGGGGCGCACAGCCCCAAGAACACGACAAGCTTCCGCGATTTTGTATACTCACGGCGCACAACGACGCGCAGTACACGACGAGGGCCGCAAACGAGTAAAGCACTGGGAAAGCCGAGAAAACAAAAGCGACAACAATCTGAGAGTAATGGCTTCGACAAACATCGGGCGGAACTTGTGCCACATTATATTTTTTGTCGTCTTGTCGGAGTACTCGGCGACGACCGTGGAGGGGGTGAAATCTTTTGTGTCTCACGTGTGCGAGATAAACGCCTTAATGCGTCAAGTGTACTGCGACATCGAGTAGCGGCGCAGCGGGTCCTTTTGTAGGTCATCGGCACCCGCATGTTAAATGCATGCCTTGTCGACCACCTGTTGCGCGTCGATGCAACGCGTGAACAATCGACATGCCTCCTCATTGTGATGTCTACCTGCGTCCGGAATTGCTCTTGGGCAGCCCGCTGGCTTTCGTCACTGGCTCGTTGTGGAAATCGCCATCCGAAAACTTCCTCCACCCTCGGCGCCATCATTGAAATACGGGTCGAGACCTGCGCAAACCTTCTCGGTACTTTCGACTGCGCGGTACGGAACGGCGCGGCCAGACTTCACGGTGAACAGTTACATCGCGTGGTCTTCTAGCGCGGCACAGCACATCGCGCACTCGCAACAGATGATTGCGATGAGACCGCCGAGTCCAAGCTGCGTGAGGACGCCAATCAACCACGCTGTGATCAGGTCGTCGGAGGCGGAGATGACCAGGACGACGGGTATTGTCGCCCTGAAATCCGAAACAGGCTACGATTGGAGAGCGTGTTTGGGACCTCTTGTCGCGCGAGCTCAAGAATTCTACTGCTGACGAAACGATAACGTGAACCCGCACCGCAGACATGGAAACTCGGGCTTGCCTTGAGCCAAGAGGGCTACGTACGGCGACTACGGTGATGGAGATAAAGAAGACGGGGGTGCTACCAACGCTGGCGACGATGACAACGCTGGTGCTGACGAGGACGATGAGGAAGTGCACGCGCGCAACAGAATGCGCATAGGAAAAAACATGTTACCAGCCTGGAAAATATCCCTATCCCTATGCTGGGCATATCCTCATCACGATGCCAATCTTAGGGATTCCCTTAATTTTTCAGGGCGAATCCCTAAGATTGTCATCGCTCTTTGGCGTGTCAATCTTAGGGATAGGGATAAGTTCGAGGCTGGTGAACATTGGGATTTCAGATGTGTGTTTGGCGCCGTCTGAATGGAGATATGTGCTGGAGCCCGCTGGCTGTGAACGAGCGAGGAGACGCGCGCCTGTTGTCCGGATTTCTCGATGCTTGTCGGCACTGGCGGGTGCGCGCGCGGGGACCGGCCGCATGGTCTCATTTGACAGATTTAACCAGCCTCGAGCTTATCCCTATCCCTAAGATGGGCGAGCAAAAAGCGAGGACAATCTTAGGGATAGGCCCTCAGAAACTGAGGGGATCCTTAAGATCGGCATCGAGGTGAGGTGATGTCAAACATAAGGATATGGATATGTTTCAAACTGGTAAAGATTGGCAAGACTCCGTACAACTGTGGTGTGATTCGGGCGAGTGCGCGTGTACAGAGGCCTGGGACTTTTTATCTTGAAGCTGACGGTCTTGAAAAGTCGTGTCCTCACTGAAAACGAGTGCTTGTTGGAAACGATACCATGTTCGCGTGCATGTGGTCCGCATGGGGCTCTTTGAATGGTGCTCTTTGGCACGGACTCTGACCAAACACACTTGCTAGATCACCGCGTGCGCACCACATCACATGGTAGTATTGAACACTGGTGAATGGCGAGATAATATTGCGTCAACTGGCATTGTTCTCTTGATACAATACATGAATAAGCGTACCGGAACACTAAACACAACGCGCGGAAGGTGGTGGCTCCCTCGGCACGGGGAAGATTCTAAACCTCTTCGCATACAAAACTATGCGGTGCGATGTTATACGTATCACCACGCAGTTGCGGATAAGAGTGTGGGGGCTGCGAGGCGGCGAGGACGTCGGCAGTCTGCAAGGCTCTGAAGAAGCCCGCCGCAGGCGCCTAAGTTTTACAAAGCATGCAGTGAGCCCGCCGCAGGTGCCGAATTTTTAGTTAAAACCATGTGGTTGGGCCGCGGGATGGGTCGCGAGTGGGTCGCGAGTGGATCGCGGGCGGGTCGCGGGGTGGGTCGTGGGTGGATCGCGGGTTGGTCGCGGGGTGGGTCGCGGGTGGGTCGCGGGCGGGTCGCGGGGTGGGTCGTGGGTGGGTCGCGGGTGGGTCGCGGGGTGGGTCGCGGGTGGGTCGCGGGTGGGTCACGGGATGGGTCGCGGGCGGGTCGCGGGCGGGTCGCGGGCTGGGTCGTGGGGGGCGGGACGACGACAACAAACAAGAACATCATTCCCCACAGCAGAACCTTTCTTCAGCCATGCGCCCAAGGACAATGATAATCCCGGGGGGGTGTAGATCCTAACTCCTTCTCTAAAGAGGCTGAATTGGCATGCCCGGCGCGCGGCCGCCGCCCCGCGCTCGTGAAACATCCCGCCCGCCCACTCGCAACTTGGCTGCTTGGCGCTGGCTGGCGCACCGCCGCAACCGCGCTAGTGTGTGCAGGCTCGCGCGCAGGGCGATCAACTAGGTCTGGCACGACAGACGCGGTCACGGTCGCGCTGGCCGCTAAGCACATCCAATCGCGTCTTGTACGCCGCGGTGCCGGTCGAGCGGGCGCCTCACCATGGAGACGTCGACAATGTCAATCGCGATGGTGATATATAGTAGCGATGCTGGTGGCGACATTGAGGATAATGATGACGACGGCCAAGCCAACGACGGCAAAGACGCTGATCACGCGATGACGATGATTGTGCCAACGCGTCGGCGATGAAGGTTCTGGCCGTTTTTCGACGTGCGCGCGGCCGACGCGCGTGAGTGGCCCGCGTGGCATTGTTTGACGTGGATCGTGCGCAAGCACCCACCCAGGACACATACACACAAACCCACGATTGCGACGGCAATTGCGATGACGCATGCGACGGCGATTGCGATGACAACTCGGCGCTGGCTGGCGCAACGCTGCGGCTGCGCTAGCGCGCGCGAGCTCGCGTGACGAGCGACCGGCTCGTTTGGCGCGACCGACGCGGCCGCGGTGGCGCTGACCGCTGGGCGCTTCCCACCGCGCCCCGCAGGCCGCGCTGGCGCCCGGACACTTCAGCGAGAGTCGGTGACTCGGGCGGGCACGGTCACACGGCGACGTCGACAATGGCAGACACGATGGTGCTAGTAGCGATGATGGCGACGATGACGACGGCGACGGCAAGGCCAATGACGGTGCCGATGCTGATCAGGCCGATGACGATGTCGGTGATGAAGGTTTTGGAAAGATTTCGGCACGCGCGCGCGGCCGACGCGGGCGAGTGGCCCGCATTGTATTATATGTTGCAGCGATCGTGCCCCCCAGCCAGCGCGCAGAGGCGTTCGAACGATGTCGACATGCGCGCGCGGGAAGCCCACTTGGTATTATTTGATGCACATGCTGAGGAACCCACGGCTTTGATCCATGAGAATTTGCAAAGGCGCGCGTAACTGGGGAAACTGGACTACAACACAATGTATGCTTTCCATGTTTCCGGTCACTTTGATGTGGACATTGTCAACACACCTGAGGTTTTGATTGTGTTCGGCATGCGCGCGCGACTCTGACACATGTTCCGCGCGCGTTTCGATTGCGACACATGTTGTTGCAAAGGGCTGTTGGACATGTACAGGTTTCGATCAACGAGTACGCGCGTATATTCCAGTTGGACACGGATGAGGTTGGGGGCCGGTACTCGCCTGCCTGGGATGGCATGGACTACTGAATAAATGAACGTGAACGAAGGGGCAGAAACTCACATGTAAATTGCTCGTGTGATCCCACAGGAACCTATGCTCCCCGGGGGGGGGGGTAGAGCTAAATTTCTTTGAAAACACACAATCCGCGGATGATTTGAACATTAAGACAATGGATCTTGAGATCGATTGTGAGATCTATAATGGGATCGATCATGGAACCGATAGCGAGGACGATTGTAAGGTCGATCGTGGCACCGATATTGAAATCGATTAAATGAGATCGATCGTGAGATCGATCGCAAGATCGCTCATGCGATCTCTAGTGAGATCGCTTGTGAGATCAATAGTGAGATCGATTGTGAGATCGATGGTGGGACCGGTAAAGCAGTGGGTAATGAGATCGATGGTGAGACCGATCGATAAAAAGATCGACCAAGAACCCAAGAACACGGGAATCTCGCCGCCCTCCCAAATCGGCCGGGAACAAGGAAACGGGAACCCGGGAACCCAGCCAGCAACCAACATCGGCAGGAAACTTTCGCCAAATCCTTCAACATCCGTGAGGGCCCCTTCAGTGCAAGCACTTCTTGGAGAATCTCTGTTGTGCATTCTGTGTTGTGCAATGTCGCCAGACCGACGTTCGGGCCCAAACGAACGGCGGCGACGAGGCGGCGACGGGGAGGCGAGCACGGAGCCGCCAGACCGACACTCAAGCCCAAACTAAGGGCGGCGACGAGGCGGCGACGGCGAGTACGCTAGACCGACATTCAGGGCCAGTTCTTTCGAAGAGAAGAGCGAAAACCTAAGTGCAAACACCGCTTGGCAAATCTAAGTACACATGCGTGCACGCGCATGGCAAGCCAACGCGCGGAGGTGGGAAGAAACCCCGTCTCTGGCATGGAGACT